TCTTGCTGTGGGCAGGGGCACCATCCTTTAGACCAGTTTGCTCCAACCTGTCCTTCCAGGGATGGAGAGCCACAGCTTCTCTGGGCAGCCTGTGCCAGGGCCTCCCCACCCTTATAGGGAAGAATTCCTTCCTCATATCCAGGATATTATATTTTTAATTTATTTTTCCTGGTGTCCAGGATGTGAGTGGCTGCACACCCCTGCGATGTGGGGCAGGGATGATTCCCCTGGGGCTGTGTGAGGGGCACAGCCGGTGCCCACAGCAGCGTGTGGGGCTGGGGGCTGGCACAGGAGCACGGGGCTGTGTGGGTCTCATGCTGACAGGGGCTGTGCCCCCCTTGCTGACAGATCTACGCCGACCCTGCCAAAAGGCTGGAGCTGTATTTCCGCCCCAAGGACCCCTACTGCCACCCCGTGTGTGCCAACCGCTTCCCCACCTCCACCATGCTGCTCAGGGTCACCAGGAGGAGCAGGAAGAAGCAGCAGTTGGACCCCGAGGAGCAAATCCAGCCAGAAGTGCAGTTTGAGATGGAGATTCTTGGGATTGTCACCACTGTTTACAAATTTCAAGGTAACCCTTGTGATGTGGCTTAGAGATGAGTGTGTTTGCTGGGAAAGGGAAGTGTTTCCCCCTAAGCAGTTGAGGACTGGAAGGAAAATCAAACCTCCTTGCTGGATAAACCTTTGCACAAACTTGTCAGACTCCTGCTCCTGAAAGTTGAGTGTGAGAGATATTGTTGCATTCACACAAACTTCACAGTGTTTTAACTTTTGTTTCATACAGGAATGTCTGACTTCCAGTACCTGGCAATGCACTCTGGCCCTGATGGCAAACAAACCTCCATGTATGACAAAGTCCTGATGCTCAAACCAGAGAAGGAAGAGTTTTTCAATAAAGATTTACCTCTTTACATCCCACCACCCATTTTCTCACGTCTGGACACTCCTGTGGACTATTTTTATCGCCCAGATATACAGCACAGGTCAGTGCCTTTTCTCATGATACATCTTTCGTGAGTTTCACCCTTTTAATTTGCTGCCTTGTGCTGATTTGGTACAACAGAGGCAAAAAACCACCAGAAGCTGCCTGGCAGTGGCAACCTCAGCAAAATGCCACTTGAGGATTTGCCAGGTGAGGGGAGCTGGGCATGAGGTGAAGATGATGCCTCTCCCAGCTCACCTCACACATTGTGGGATGCAGGACACAGCTCCTGCCTGTTTCCAGAGGGCTGGAGCCAAGGGCAGGGTTTCCAAGAATCAATGCCATGTGTTCTGTGCTCTCCTGGCCTCCAATGGCTCTGCCAGAAGAACAATCTGGGAGATCTCCCACAGGAAACATCTTTCATTTTCTCACTGTTGGCCTTCACTGGTTCTTTTTAAAGGGAAAGAAGCTTCCAGACTGAGTGGGTGCCTGCAGTTTCCTCTTGCTTTGCCCCTGTCCCAGTGAGTAGCTGCAGTAGCTCCAGGAGAGCAAATGCAGAGGGTGAAGCCTTTCCAACACAGATTTCACACAGATCATTCCTGAGTGCTGGAGGGTTTCCTGCCAGCCAGGGCAGAGCTCCTCTGTCAGTGTGCAAATGGATGTAGTTTAAAGGTTTTGGGATTTATTTAAATTTGAATTCCTTTCTTCAGTGGTGCCATGAGTATCTTTTATAGTACCAGTGTGTGATTAAGGGAAGTTGAGCAAAAGTTAACCCAACCCATTGCTCACCCAGCTGAGTCCCTTTTGTTTTCCCTGTTCCCTAGGGAGGGCTACAACAATCCCCAGGTGTCTGGTGAGAACCTGATTGGCCTCAGCAGGGCCCGGCGCCCACACAACGCCATCTTTGTCAACTTTGATGATGAGGAAATCCCAACTAAGCCCCTGGATGCTGCTGTGCAGAACTGGAAGAAAGTGTGCACCAATCCTGTGGATAAAAAGGTGGAGGAAGAGCTGAGAAAGGTGTGTGCCTTACTCCTGGTCTGAGCACTGTCCTGGGGAGGAAAAAGTAGATTTTTCTCCATAGAAATTTGTGGTGATTGTGAGTGACTGACACAAGTGTGAGTAGATGCTGCTGACACTGCTGTGTTCATTTCAGTTCTGCAAGTCAAGCTTTGAATCTGGGTCTTAACTCTCATTAAGCCCTACAAGTTCTCACATCACCGTCCAACAGCTCCTATGGGGGGGCAAAGGCTCTGATATGGACCTGAGTGCACTTGGAAAGCTGCTCTGCCTTTGGGAACCCTTCTCACTGATGTGTGCCTGTCTGTGTGTCCTTGCACCTCCTTGGGAACCCCTTCCCACTGATGTGTGCCTGTCTGTGTGTCCTTCAGCTCTTTGGGAACCTTCCCACTGATGTGTGCCTGTCTGTGTGTCCTTGCACCTCTTTGGGAACCTTCCCACTGATGTGTGCCTGTCTGTGTGTCCTTCAGCTCTTTGGGAACCCCTTCCCACTGATGTGTGCCTGTCTGTGTGTCCTTCAGCTCTTTGGGAACCCTTCCCACTGATGTGTGCCTGTCTGTGTGTCCTTCAGCTCTTTGGGAACCCTTCCCACTGATGTGTGCCTGTCTGTGTGTCCTTGCAGCTCTTTGGGAACCCTTCCCACTGATGTGTGCCTGTCTGTGTGTCCTGCAGCTCTTTGAGGTGCGTCCCGTGTGGTCTCGCAATGCAGTCAAAGCCAACATCAGTGTCCATCCAGACAAGCTGAAGGTGCTGCTGCCTTATTTGGCCTATTACATGGTGAGTGGTACTTCTGTGAGCATCACCCTGCTCTTCCTGCTCCTTTACCACTTCTGAGGTCCTGCCACTACGTGCCTGAGCTTGATTTAATGTCAAGAGGCAGGGGGAAGGAAATGCTTTAGAACCAAAGTTGAAGCCAAGGTCAGGACCCCCATCCCCCCAAACAATTCTCTTAATGAGACACTTGAAAGGAATTACAGTTTGTGTACTCTGAGTTGGATTCACTGGAGAAATACCAAGAGATTCTCAGGAGCTCAAAACAACAAAACAGTCATTTTGAACTTTGGAAAATCAGAAAAACTTTGGTCACTCCGAGTCACTGTTCACCTGGCAGTGGTAGCAGAGTTTTTCCACACAAGCACTTGGCTGTGACCTTGCAGGTTGGTTTGTAAAAGCACACAAATATTTGTGCTTTGATTGCCAAGTGTATAAATATATTTCAGTGTATAAATATTAGCATGGCAAGTGAGCAAAGAGCTGGTAAAACAAATATCTTTGGGCAATGAGGGAAAATATTAGACCTTTCCAAGGACCTTGCTACTGAAGGAAGTTGCAACAGTGTGGTGCTTTTTTGTAATTATGTTCCCTCATGTGTTTGTGCAGTTAACAGGTCCTTGGAGAAGCTTGTGGGTTAGGTTTGGGTATGACCCCAGGAAACACCCTGAAGCAAAGATTTATCAAGTGCTGGACTTCCGAATTCGCTGTGGAATGAAATATGGTAAAAGGGCCCAACCCACAGAGCTGCTCTCTCTGCTTTCTGGTTAATCCTGGTAGTATTTTTCTTTTTATGTGTTTTTCAAACTCTTTTGCCATATTTCTGCTCTGATGAATATGTCACCTTTTGAGCTCCTTGCTTGCTGTAGTTCTTTTTAAAATTCCTGTAATACTTTCATAGGCAATAGCTCTTTCCTCATTTGGCACATTCTAAACTCTGCCTTTCCTCCTCCATGTGTTCCAAGCCCAAGTGGGTGTAGCAGAGCATCCTCCTCCTCACTCAGGGGAGGCACCAAGCAGGAATTCTGGTGCTCACATAGCAGCTTTTCCTCAAGGACCTCAGCATTTCCTGCAGGATGCTGAGTCTCAGACCTTGGATGTGGGGTTCCCTGTTTTGATTTCACAAAGGACAAGTTGAGGAAAAGGAGTTTTTGATGCCATCTAATAAGTCCATGACAGAGCTGGGTTCCACTCATTGATATCAGATCACATTTCCAAGTTAAAGGGTTTTGTTGGTCTCTTCTCCCCACCCTGCTAAAACCAGCATATCCCCAAGACCAGCCTGCCCTTCCCACACCAGTCCAGCCCTTGTGTTCCTGAGCTGGGGATGTTCTGCAGAGTGCTTGCCCTCAGTTCATGACTGGATTTTGGTTTTCACCTCTAGGTTATGCTGCTACTGACATGCCTGTGAAAGCAAAACGCAGCACGTACAACTACAGCCTGCCCATCACTGTCAAGAAACAAGGTATGGGCCAGAAGGGCTGCCTGGCTCTTCTGCTTCTCTGTTTGCCCCATCCCAGTCACAGGTGGTGAAGCTGAGTTGCTGTGTTCTAGCTGAGCCAAAACTGAGCTTGTTTTCTGGTAGTTATATTGCTGCTGTTAAGCCAGAGAAAAATCTGCTGGGAAGTGTTGTGGGAGTCTGGCTGAGCCACAATATCTGTTAGCAGGCAGGAGGGGGTTCTGCAAGCCACACTGGGAATTCACTGAGGTGCAGAGAATAGGGGAGTTCTCTTTTCTGTGTCAAAAGGGAGTAGAAAAGGTTAAAATTATGAACAAATGGGCTCTGGAAAAAGCTGCACAAGTCAGCACTTCTTTTCCTGGGACTGTCCAGTAACATCTCTAAAGAATGAGCAAAGCACATGCTCTGTTGCTGGTTGGTCTGGTTTTGGTGAATCAACAGAGAGAGGTGACAGTCCAATAGGAAAGATGTCCCTCATTAGGACTCTTTGTTTTCCTTTCAGGAAGTCACACAGTCAGTGTCCACGACCTGAAACAGGGGCTGGGTTCAGCTGGTACATCTGGGGCAAAGAAGCCCCCCTCCAGCAGGTATAAGCTGAAGGTAAGCATGACTTTCTATGCCAAAATCTTGAACTATCTCAGTGAAATGGGGATGATTCCTGGCTTATCAGTCATCAGGGGATCAGCTGTGAGTGCTCAGGTTTGCCTGAGAAGCTCCCAGTTGGATATGGCACTATGGAAAACCACCTGAGTGTATTTTGTTACATACTGCAAGGGGGGATTGCTGCTCATCTTAGATGTGAGGAGTATTTTGCTTCAGTTGATAAAATTGGAACTTCATGGGCAGCGAAGTGCAAAAAAATCACCATGTCTTTATGAGGTCATGCTGCAAAATCCAACAGGGTGGAATAAATAAATAAATGAGTCTTACTATTCCTTTTTTCGCTGGAATGAAGCCCATGATGCACTGCTGGGCAGTGACAGGCTGCAGACAGAGCTGCAGGCTGGAGAGGTGAAGTGTGTTCTCTGCCCAGCAGTGCTGGTGTGACTGTGGCTGCAGGGACATTTTGGGGCAATCCTCATTCAGTTTATCTTCTGCCACATACAGATCTATGCCTTAAAATTTGTTTTCTTGAAAGCACCATGTTCTTGAATCAGCCCATTGGAAGAACTTTTATTACAGCATAAAATACACATGGATCCTTTTCTTCTTTCCTCCTCTTAGGAATCCGTCTACATTTTCCGGGAAGGAGCCTTACCCCCTTACCGCCAGATGTTCTACCAGCTCTGTGACTTAAATGTGGAAAGGTACAGCACCCTGACAGCTGAATCAGACAGATTTCAGAGCCTATTGTTTATACCCTGTCCATTCACCCCTCTCCCCCTGAGCAGGAACATCAGAGGTGTTCAGTTGCTCAATAAAAACAGAAAAGTTTTTTCACACTTGAACTTCCTTTCCCATCTGACAATTACCTGGATAACCAACTGTGCTATTCCAGCTCAGTGAAGGGAAATGGAAGTAAAGCAGTGTGTCTCATTTGAAACTCACACCTGAGTGCAGAAGATTAAGGTTTCCTTCCCTTTTGCTCTCTTCAGCCTGCAGAAGATCATCCATCGGAATGACGGCACCGAGTCGGAGTGCACGGAGCGGGACGGGTGGTGCCTTGCCAAGACCAGTGATGACCTCAGGGACAGCATGTCCCTGATGATAAAGCAGATCATCAGATCCACCAGACCTGGTAAGGATGCTTTGAACATGAGGATGTTGTACTTGGCACTGAGGTAGAGGTGTTCCTGCATCCTCTGTGTGTTCTTTGGGATGTAGCTCATTCCAGTGTGGGAGCTGAGGCTGCTGGCCTGCAGTGGGAATGTGGGCTGGCATTAGTGATGGCTGGGAGTTAAGGTTTTCTATTTCATCTTCCCAGTATCAAAAGCCCTTCAGCTTTTAAATGTCTTTTGCACAGTGATAATCAAAATCTTCATTCCGTTGGTGGCATTTTACTTTTTATTGATATTATTGATTGACCAAGAAGTGAGAAAATTATTTCTGGATGATGCTGGGCCAAAGCAATAATATCCCAGTGAATTGGGTCAGAATGAGGCAGGAGAGGAGGCACAGCACTGCAGCTCTGCTGCTGTTCTGTCTCCTTCCTGGACTGTGGAGTTGGATTGCTCTGGGCTTGATCAAATTCTGTTAAGATGAGCAATATTAGCTGTGCCCTTGAGGCTGCTGTGAACTCCATTGCAAATGTCCCCAGGTTGCACTGAGAGAGGCATCACAGTGTCTTTCTTTCTTCCCAATTTAAGCTCTTTTCTCAAATACAACAAGCAGTGAAGATGGCAAAGAGCAGCTGGCATACGAGTCTGGAGAGGATGAGGATGATGAAGAGGAGGAGGAAGAGGAATTCAAGCCTTCTGATGGGAGTGAAAATGAAATGGAGACAGAAATTCTGGACTATGTGTGAACTCAATGAGCAGTATGGCTGCTGTGCACAGAACTGTCTCTGCTCTTGCTCCTTGAGATTCAAGGGTTCAGCAGCAGGATCTAGGAAAAGCAGAGCTTGTACTAAGCTGATGATGTTCTCTCTGGTGGTGGGCAGCATTCTGGGTGTTTGGGAGCCACTGCTGCATTTTCAGAATTGCTGGCTGAGAAACCCTCCAGCAAGCTCAACAAACTCCCAAGAGCGAGCCCAGAATCCAAACCAGCTGGAAACACACCTAAACATGGGAGAAGCTGCATTCCCAGATCTCTCCATGTGTGGGAGTGCACTCTCTCCAGGTTGGTGGCCATGTGGAAGATAGAAGAGGTGCCTGAGGAGATGCTGGGAGAAGAAACAGTTCAGTGCTCCTGGAGTCCCTAAGGCAGGTTCTGCCCTTCTGCTTGTCCAGAGGAGTGAAAATACTGAGCCATGCCTTCAGCACTGAACCTTGCTGGTCATCTTGGAAATAAAGCCAGCAGGAAAATACATTTTCTGGCAGTGAATAATTCCCTTCCTGGGGTGCAGTGTTTGTTGTCCTCATTACCTGATTTACTTCTCAGGTCTGTTTTGACTTCCCCAGCTAGCAGGTAATAAAGATTGAAGGCAGCTGGCAGAGGGGCAGAGCTTCAGGTGCACAGAAGTTGGCCACTGCCAGCTGCGTTGCTCCCACCACAAAAAAAGCCCCAAAAATTAAAGAGCTACTGGGGTTTTCTAGATCTTGTGCATTCCCCAGTGTGTTCTGAGCACACCTGAAATCCAAGATCTTTTAAAAAACAAGTTAAGACCTCCTCTTCTCCTCCACTGAGGAGAGCCTGTTACAGTTGCTTTCAAAGCTGTTACTTATAGCAAAAGTGGTAAAACCCAACAAATTATAATTGCAAATACAACAGTTTCCAATAACAGGTTCAAAGGAATGCGGTTCATTTCAAAATTGAGCCCTGGTCCCTCAGCCAAAACGCCAATTTGTCAAAATAAAGTTCAACCCCCAGAGTGAACATAAAGTATGAACTCCCCCACAGCCAGGCCCATCCCTCTTTCCCCAGGAAGATGCTGGCATTTTGGGGAAAGAGAACAGGACAAGCCCTGCCTTGAGGCAGGGACGTTTGAGCATCAGTATTTTATTGCAAAGACTAATTACATTGCTGTGTACAAGTCACACCGGGCAGTGTGCTCCTTCATTGAAGTGGTACAAAATACACAGGGTACAGCCAGTCCGCCCGCTGGGAGGGGAGGGGACAGTCCCAGGGTGGGCAGGCACGGAGCAGAGGGGTGGTGCTGGTGCCCAGGGGAAGGGGCTTTGGGCAGGGGGGAGGCAGGAGGCTGCCCGTGCGTCAGGGAGCCACGAGCTCCCATCATGTGCATCATGGGCAGCGCTGGGGCTGGAGGAGCTCCGTGCCAGCCACGCTCACACCCAAGCAGCCTCTTCCTCACCAGCCCCTGGAGGGTGCTCCCTGTCCTGGAGCAGGGGAAGGCACCACAACCATCTGGGAACGCTGACGGGTGGGAAACGGAAAAGATCTGCTGGAATGACGAGCTTAAAAAACAGAGACGGAGGCAGGAGCAACAAAAGGTCCCCCTTTGGTTAGTGTTTCCTACAATGGTTAAAACAGGCATCTCTGCCCCTGCTCGAGCAATTAGTGGTAGAGAATTTGGGAGGGGGGGCTGGCAGGGTCTGCACCCTATGAGCACAGCAATGCTGCTGCTGCCAGCATCCCTCCCAGCAGCCTTAAATACCAGGGGGACACAGGACAGGGACTGGGCTGCGGGGCAGGGGAAGGCTGGATTAGTAAAATGTACAAGTTTACCTCTTCTATTTACAACCAATAAATACTGGAAAAAAAAATCAGTAAACTTTTTTGTTTTATACAAAAAAAAAAGTCTCATTGCTGCTTCTCCCATGGTCAGTGTTTGAAAAAGTCCGGTTAAAGCCCAAGGTGAGTGGCACTTTCTGTGGGTCAGGCAGTGGCAGCTGGGGCACCTGGAGCACCTTGAGCTCTCTGGCCCCTCTGTGCCCACACAGACCCAAAGTCTCTATTTACACAGTTTCACACAGAACTTTGCTCTCCTCCTCCTCAGGCTGGCAGCGCTGGGGGCACAGCCTGAAGCTCCCCCTTGGCAGAAGAGACACTGGCATTTGATCTTTGGTGCAAGTTTGAACTGGCCCAGTCCAGCTGCAGGATGTGCTGGATCGGGAGAGGAGCGAGACCACGCAGGCTTCCAGCTGGGGAGAGCACGAGGCACCCACTCCATCGTGGCACGGCCACAGGCTCCTCCACGGGGCTCAGCACTGGTGCAGGGCTGCATCCTTCCAGCTCACTCCCAGCCCAGGGCATCCGTGGCTTCTCCCAAAGGAACGACAAGGACAGGCAGAGCTGTGCAGTGGTGGCAACGCCAGTGATCCCAGGGAGGACAGACATGGAGGTAACACTGGGAAAGCTGGGAAGGAGGCTTGGCAGCCCCTTCCAGGGTGATGGTGGCTCCTGCTGTGCTTTGTCACAGCCCCTCTGCAAGTCACTGCTCCTCGGCTCGCTCAGACACAAGGCACCTACGGCAGAGGCGGGCTCCAGCTCTGGGCTGGCCGGGCTGGCCGAGTGTCGCACCGTGGAAGGTTAAAAAACAAAACAAAACAAAATAGACAAATCCCCCCCACTGCTGCCTTCCTGTGTAGAAAAAAAGACCTGATTGGAATGGGGGCTTGTGCAGAGAGAGGCAGAGGCCAACACCAGTTGCCCAACTCTCAGCTCTGGGTGCGGAAGGAGGTGCACGGCCGTCGCCCGTGGGTGAGGGTCACTCCTCTGCCCTGCAGGGTGGCACAAGGAGTGGCCAGAGCCAAGCCCGGAGCAGCTGCCCCCAAGGCCCCGTCGGTGATGGGTGGCAGTGGGGCTGAGGCTAGAAGATGCCCTTGGCGATCTTCAGGCCTTTCTGCTTCATCCTGGGCAGGGTGGAGCTGGAGCCGTGCTTGATCTTCACCCCCTTGGAGAAGCCCCGCTTCTTGAGCACAAAGTCATAGTTGGCAGCGGAGTTCATGGCGTAGAAGACGTTGGCGTTGTCGGGGATCTTCAGCTCTGGAAGTGAACAAGGATGAGGGTCAGTCAGGTGCCCTTTCCTTGAAAAGGGACCAGAGTGGGGCTAAGGTTTGTCCCCAGGTGCTGGGACACCTCCTGCTGTCACCTCTCATCCCAGCTCCAGCCCGGTGCTGCCCAGGAAAGCCCCCACAGCCCAGCACACACACACACCTCTCTCCTCTGAGATGATCTGGACAAGCTCATAATCTTCAGGCCGGTCCCCATCCAGGTTGTGTTTGGCCATGGCCTTGCGAATAACCACGGGGGTCTTGTCCTGGCTCGTCACCTGTGAGCACAGAGTGCTGTGAGCTCAGACACTGCTAAAGCCTCCCAAAACGTGCCACGCCCACATCCAAGCAGCACAAGCCACCCACCCCTCCCTGGGGATGTCACTAACCAGGATGCTCTTGTACATGTTGCCGTTGTCCACAGCCAGGCTGACTCGGATGATGCAACAGTCGTCGACCTGCTGGTTGTAGAGGGGCAGCGAGAGTGAGGAGTAGCTGGAGATGCCGGAGACCGAGCGCTTGTGAGTGCGGGAGGCCGTCACCGGCGTGGAGGAGACGGAGGAGGAGGAGGCACTGCTGGAGCCTGAGCCGATGCCTGACGTGTCCAGGGAAGAGAGGGAGGTGGATTCCCAGAACTGGAGGGCAGGGAGGAGAGGGGATGCGGAGGACACAGTGGGTTTAGCTTCTCCATCGGCCACAGACGGGGCGTACCAGCGCTGGGGGAGGGAGGCCAGAGGGATCTCACTGACCTGTGACAACGGGGGACCGACACAGCTACAGCCACCGGAGGCACCAGAGCCTTGCCGTGCTGCCGGAGCAGCCCCCGGGCCCCTCGCCTGCTCCCCCCAGCCCCAGCGCCAGGCAGAGGTGGGACAGTCCCCACAGCATGGCCACAGCGGCCCTGGACCCTGTGAGCTGCCACGTACCTTCTTCTCCTGGCAGTCGGGGGACTCGGGGATGAAGCTGATGTTGATCTCCTCCACGTCAGAGCTGCTGGAGCCAGCAGAGGTGACACTCACTGAGTCAGTGGCATCCCCACTGCACAGGTACTGCCCACACTTGAGCTGGTCGAAGGATTTCGAGTGGGAGCTGCCGCTGGCACAGGGCTCCGTGCTTGGTGGCTGCCGGCTGCCAGGAGAGAGGCGGGGCAGGTGAGAAGGGAGCAGGTGAGGCTGCATTTGGCTGGCAGGACAGTGGCCATGCCCAGCTGGTCCCCTGCAATGTCCAGCCAGAGATGCCCCACACTGGCCCCACCTCCCACCAGGGACTCACTCGCTCCATCTCTTGATGATGCCCGTGTTCTTCTTGGCCTTCAGCGTGTTGCTGGCTGACTCTGACAGCGGCTCAATCTCACACGACAGCCCATAGCTGGGAGGGGAGAGAGGAGGGTTTGAGATCCCTGTGCTGCCACCAGGTGTGAGGGACAGAGAGGGGAGCAGGGGGCAGCTGCTGCTGTCAGAGGAAACGAGTGATGGGACCTCCCTCTCACTCACCTCTCGGCCTCGCTGAGCCGCTCCAGGCTGTGGAACCACTCCACAAACTGGTCCTCCTGTGTGAAGCTGTAGTTGTTGCAGGCTGACTGGAGCAGCTTGATCTGTGCAATCACTTCGAACTCCTGCAGCAAAGGGAAGCCATGAGACCAGAATGCCCTCCCACAAAAGTGAAGGACACAAAGGAAAAAAGGAGAGGGATCAAGTCCTAAGTGACTGGCACAGCCTGGGATTGCACCAGGCCAGCCCTGCTGAGCAGCTGCCAGGGCAAAGCTCTCACCTTCCTTCTCTTCTCAAAGTTGATCAGCCCACCCTGGAAAAGAAAGAGATGAAGGTCAGGATGGAGCAGGCAGAAGAATACTGCTCCCTCCTCTATCTCTATATTGCTGCCACTGCAGTGGGATTAACCCTGCTGAGAAACAGTAGCCCATTTCCTTTGGAGAGAGGTGGATGGGCAGTGTTGGATATGGGATGTGGGATACAGGATGTGCAGTGTGGGATACAGGATGTTGTGTGGGACACAGGACACAGCCTTCCTTTTATCAGCCCAGGCTCTGGGAGGAAAGGGAGGACAGGGAGAGGGTACATACATCCAGGAAATCCTTCATGGCCGTGTCCAGCATCACCAGGTCCGTCAGGAAGGTGCCAAGGTAGGGAATGGTGCCCTGCATCACACCCTGTGGGGACAGAAGGGACAGAGGGGTCAGCAGGGCTGGGAGCAGCCTGGGCAGCTGCTGGGGAGGGGCACAGGGACAGCCCTGCCAGACTCACCATCTCTCGCTGCTGCTGCTGCCGCTTCTGAGCCCTCTTTGGGTTGATCTCCAAGGTGGCAAACTTGGATGTGCCCTCCTGGATGGTGGGGAGAGGTGGGATCAGCACAGGTGGGAAATGGCACTAATACCTATTAGCTAAAATTCACACCCATTTTCATTTATGTAACTTTCATTGTAGGAAAGAGGAGGGAATCAAAGCTTTTTCATGGCTCACAGAGAGGAGAGCCTTAGTGGACAGGAACTGCTGCTCTCATTTCTGTATAAATGCCTCCCTAATAAGATGTTTTGTTCCCTTTTGCACTTTGTTTCTTCTCAGTCCCTAAACCAGAGCTAGGCTGGGATCTGTGGAGAAGTTCCACATGGAATAAGGGCATTTTTGCTGCAACCTATCACCAACTCCAGCACCACACCTGATCAAGAGGACTTTGCACTGGACTGTTAACATGCAGCTGCCTCTGGGGACAAGCTGTCACCTGGTGTTCTGGATCCCATCCCAGTGCTTATCTGTTCCCTGAATTGATTTGCCAGCTCCAAGTAGTAAGTTTTGGGTGGAGAAACAGAAATTACAGCCTTGATCTGAAAACCCTGCCTGCTCCCCAGACTCAGCACACCCTGCCCGCACCCACAACTGTGACTCCAGCAGCTCTGCCAGGGCTTTATCCTGTGGCTGGAACACCATGGAAAGCTGAGCTGCCTGCCAGGAACAGGGCAATGAGGGTTCTCCTTCCCCCTACCTTGATGAGAAGCTCCCGGCTCAGCGAGTGGTTGTTCTCGTCGGAGAAGATCTCGGAGAGCTCGTGGAATGTGCGGAAGCTCTCCCTGCACAGGGGGGACAAGGGGAAAAGTCAGCAATGCTGCCACAGTGGGGTTTCCTCCTTGGGCTCTCTTCTGCTCACCCCAATGACCCCAGTTATGCTCAGCTCCAGCTGGGCCTTGCTGTTTTGGAGCTATTCCAAGGTGTTTCACACAAAAGGGTGAGGCGTTTTTATTTCCTCACCCTCCTGAAATCCCTGACACCTTACACTGGCCCCTGGGTTTTGGGCACACTCCAAGAGGCAATGCTGGAGCTGAGGTGATCCCATAGACACATCCAAGTGCCACAGCACATTATTCCCCTTGGAAGCAGCCCTGCAGGAGCTCCTTACCTCAGGACCTCATCCCAGGTTTTCTTGAGCCGGTGCACGGCGTTGCACTGCAGGGCTGAGAGGATGGCTCGGAGGGAGGAGAAGTTCTTCAGGATGCGGCACTCCTGAGGGCAGACAAAGAGATAACAGGATTTGGGTTAAAAAAAGCTGGAGGATCTGCTGGCATTCCAGCAGGGGAAAAAGCTCATCCCTGAGGTGGAGGTGGGAGGGCAGCTGTCCTACCCGAGCCACTTCGATCCACCGCTCCACCACCTTGGCCCTCTGCTGTGGCTTCAGGGACCTGTCCCCAAGACAAGTGGCAATGACACAGTTGGCCACGCTGTTGAACTGGGAGACCGTGGCACGGATGGTGGGGGCCAGGTGCTCTTTGCCCTTCTTGTCCCTCTGGGACCAGATGCAGCCCAGGCAGTGGTAAGGCACCACTTTCTTGAACAGCTCCTGGAAGATAAAGGGATGGAGAAGGGTTTCTTGGTGTTCTCTGAGGAGAGAACAGGCAAGAAGGAAAAACGGGATGGGAAGAGTCAGGACCGTGCCCAGAGCACCACTGACCCAGCTGGTGGGTGACTACTCACAGCATCCATCAGTGTGAACTGCTCTGCCACCATCTCTGGGGAGAAGGAGAGGAAATCTGGCTTCCCATCACTGACCCCATTCTCTTCCACCAGCTGGAAGGTGCAGCTGCTGTGGTCCACAGCTGCAGGAGACAAGGGTGAGGCTGAGCACTGCAGTGCCCACACCAACCCACTCCAACCCCCTGCAGACACCTACACCCCACCTCCCTAGATCTTCATCCCATCTAGCTTTGCACCTCCAGCAACAAGGCTCAGATAAAAGGATAGTCATTTTAAACCTGGGTGCAAGTGTCTACAGAGGATTAAAGGCAGATTAGCTAATCCACTTAGAAATTCCACTCCTCCTGCAGTTGGATTGGCTTCCCAGTGAAATCCCATGTAGAATTCACAGGTGTTCAGCCACGTGGCTCAAGTTTTGGAGACCCTCGATGCCAACCAGCACCATTCCCTCCACCTGCAGCCCCAAATGAGCCCTGCAAGCCAGGGGAGCACCCCACCTTCTGCCTCGGCCTCGCTCTGCTCCTGCTGCTGGAACTGGGCCAGCAGGATGCGGGCTCGGCGCTCCAGGTCGGAGCCGGGGATGTTGTGGCGCACGTAGGAGATGAGCTGCTTCAGGCAGGCAAAGTCGGGGGGCTTGCGGAAATCCTCCGAGTACTGGTCCAGCCAGGCCCCCAGGATGGAGGAGATGGTGCTGCAGGAAGGGGGAAAACACAGGCAAAGGGAATCAGTTGCCAGGAGAAACCACAAGCCCAGGGGCAGCGCTGGGATGACAGATCCCTCCCAAAGAGCTGCCAGCACAGCACAGGGAGACTTACTTCTTCAGCTCCATCCTCTCATCCACAGTGTGCCTGGCGTGGTCCCCATTCGCCTGCACGTGGAGTTTGCCATACCTGGTGGGGCAGAGGGGAGGCAGTGAGCACCCTGCACTCTGCTGCCTCTCAGAGCAGCCTCTTCTCCCTCCACATCACCCCCAGCTCTGCCACAGGGTCCGGATGAACCTGCTATGCAGTGCCCTGCTCCCCTCCCTCTGCCACAACCTCCCCACTACAGGAAGGGAAGCAGCCAGCACTCGCCACCTCACTGGAAGAGCTCCAGCTTTCCATAAAGTTCTGTCCTCCCTGCCCTGTCCCAAAACCCTCACGCTGATGGAGCTGGGAGAAGCCACCAAACCCCCAAGGCATTGCAGTAGAAGATGCTGGGGCTTTTCTGGCCACCCCCCAGCTGTGTTTTGGGGCTCACCTGTTCAGCAGCAGGTCCAGCACTTGCTTGGTGGTGGCGAAGGCCCGGTAGGTGCACAGGAAGATGGTGACATAGGTGGAGTCATTGCCCTTGAAGGCTGAGACCAGGTACTCCACCAGCTTCTCCAAGGTCCCGGCTTTGATCGTCCGCACCTTGCACGTCTCGTAGAGGTTTAAGGCTGACTCATTCTCAAACTGCCAGGACAGGAGCAGAAGTCAGTGGGCTGGGTGAACACAGACACCATCAAGTGCAAAGTGTTCCCAGCAGCTTCACAAGGTCAGGTCTAGGCTGGGATCCCCACAGGGATTTTCCTTTCCTGGGAAAGAAAGGCTGAGTCTCCTCAGATATCAAACACCAGCAACCCAGCTGAGAGGACCTGAGCACTTGGCAAACCCCAGGAAAGGCCTCAGGGTTGCCAAAATCCAGATACAAATCGGAGTCGCCCTATTTTTCAAAATGGGGCTGTGCAGATTGTTTCACCTGTACCCCTTCCCATGCAGCAGAGGGCAACTCCCACTCCCTGCTCCCAAATCAACACATGACTCCCGTGGCAGGGAAACATCTGAATCCTGCCCCGAGGCAGGGGGAGCCCCCAGCTTACCCCCAGCCAGCGCTGCCCTTTGTTGGCCGTGTGGTGGAGCTGCACTTTCCGGAGGGATATGCTGTAGATCACACCATCCTCCAGCTCTTCTCCAATCTCCTGTGTGGAGCTCTGCATGGAAAAACAAGATACACCATGAGATAAGGGGAGCAAAGCGTGGCAGAGACGCTTTTGTGGCTCCTGTGAGGGATCCCAGCAAGCCAAAGGCAGCAGCTGGCTGGCAGGGAGTCTCCCTCACCTGCTCAGAAATGCAAACCAGGTGACACCAGGGTGTCTGGCTGGCTGAGCCTGCCCACAGTGGAGCCAGGACTTTGGGAAGCTGCTCTTGGTCTGTCCCACATCCCCTGGCTCCATGTCTCAGCCCTTCAGCAAAGTCAGTGCAAGGTGGGACCCCTCACAAGGCAGGGAAGGGGACAGTGACAGCACAGCCCAGTGCCCTGCCCTGGCTGCTGCCCTCTCCTGTGAGGTGACATTCTGATCTGAGCAGAATCTCAGTGATCTGAACCAAGCACCCTGGTGCACTTCCCTAATAAATAATAATAAAAATAACAAAAATAATAAAAAAATAATAAAAATAATCACTGTCAAACCAAGCTGCCCACGGCACAAGGCAGAAATCCAAAGCTCAAAGCTGGGGGTAAATCCCAGAGATCTGCACCAGGGTGGTATCAGGCACAGCCAGGATCGGTTTGGACACAGGGTTCAGGCACCTCTGGGTGACAGGCACCCATCTCTGAGGCTCCCATTTCTGCTCTGGAGGATGGAGAGCACCAAGTAATTGTTGAGGAAAGGGGTGATGCTTCTCAGGGCAGGTCCCCAGGCACAGGCCTCCCCCAGCACCACACACCAGCGCGGGCTCAGCAGCAGCTCCGGCCCCACAAGGACAATTTGGTTCCCTCCTCCTCCTCCTCCTCCTCCCTAACCACGCTCTGCTGAGTCAGTGCCTCCCTTAAGGAGATTTATCCAGATCCTTTTAAACACTGCAGGGATCTCCCCCGCCCTCCGTCCCCCTCACCAAATGGCAGGACATGGATGAACACACACCAAAACCCAGAGCTCAGCAGAAGGAGAAAATGCCTGAAAGCTGTAAGCTGGTTAGAGGGGGAGGTGAGCATCACTGGGACACAAGGCTGTGGGGACAAACGTCTCCTGCCAGAGCCAGCCCTGAGCATTCACAACAACATACTGAGGAAAAACTGCCATGAAAGGATTTAGGATGGAGCCCCAGAAGTGATGCTGCTCCCTGCAAAAAATCCTCCCCAAATTGCCCTGTGTATATGGGGACAGCCACACCAGGCTCAGAAGGGGCTGCACACCTCAGGAAACAGGAGCAGAACACAACCACAGGATCCTGAGCTGATGGATCCCACATGCACCCAAAACACTCCTTTATCAGCCCCACCACAGCAGTGCCCACTGCTCTGCTCTCACACCCTGCTCAGGCCAGGGCTGTTCCTCACAAGGAGTCAAGGCAGCACAGCCAGCCCAGAGACTGAGGGGAAGCTTGAAAAAGCCTCTCATTCACAGCTGCAATGAATGAGGGCAGAGAATCCCCCTGGGCAGGGTTCTGACTTTTTCACTTTCTGCTGAACCTGCTTTTCTCACTTCATTCCAGACTACAGAGAGGGTTGGTTTGCTGAAGTTCAAGGAGCTGTGAGGTTCTGCTGTGAACATCAGCAGCCTCTCCCAGGGTTCACTGGCTTCCAGAGCAACCCTGAGAGCACCCACGTGAGGCAGCAGACACCAAACATCCTTCCTGGCACCTGTGTCTGTCCCTCTCTTGTTCTCTGGGACAAATTATGGCACAAATTTGTGCTCAAGTACACTGCCCTGGACCTTGGCACAGCTAAAGCTTTGTGTCCACTCTGGATCAAACATCTACACTGACAGCACCTGACCAAGTTGGCCAAGCTGTCTTTCTTCCACCTTTAGATGCTGTTCCCAACAAAAACAAAAACAAAACAAACAAAAACCAACGAAACAAACAAAAAAAGCCATGGAAATGCTTCCCAGTTTTTCCTGGGCTCTTTCCCAGCCTTCATGACCCAACCTGCATGTCAGCCCTGCCCCTGTGTTCCTCCCACTTAAGCTCTGGGTCCAGCAGGACCAGAGCCCTGTACAGTCTAACTCAGAAAAGAGATTTGGCTGGGCAGTTGTAAACCCCAGACGAAAATATCGAGAAAAATCAGATGCTTGCTGACATGCAATTAAATTCATAAATTAAATCATATGGGAGGAAAAAACCATCTCAGGATCAACCCATGAATCATTGGCAACCGCTGTGCAACTACAGTGGAAATTATTGCCACAACTGCGCAGGGTTCTCATTCTGCATTTCATGTCACGTGCAGGGGATACACCCCACTCCGATGTGCAGAAAAGCAAATTTCATTTCCTTCCCATATCCAAGACTGTCAGATTCATTCATTTTTTGCCTTGCTGACTTGTGCGATATCCCCCCAAGTTCCCCCTTTGCAAACCACACACGAAGGCCACGGCTTCCCAGCGGTCTGCAGGCTCCTGCCAAGAGCCAGGAGAGCTGCTACACTGGGACATTCTAAAATTTGGCTATTTATATTCCGCGTGAGCTTCCTCTTCCCTGCGGCTGCTCCTGCGAGATGCTGATTGTGCATTCCGCGCACGCTGGTTAAAAACCAACCCAAAGCAAAAAAGCAGCGGCAGGATGGAGCCAGAGGAGTCTCATCCCAACACCTGCACCAAGCACACGTTCTCCCCTTGCAGGTGATGAGATGAGATGGGAGCAGGGCAGGGACAGAGTCAAAATCTTGAGCTGTGCCTGATATTCGTGCTAGCTACCCAAAATCCTGCACTCACATCAGCGAGTCAGCCAAAGCTGAATGCCTTCAAAATGGTCTCTAAAGAGTCAGATGAGTGCTTTCCTTTGCTTAGATGATTGGAAATGACACTATTTCAAAAGATGCAGAGCAGACAGGGCCTTGGAGGCAGCAATCACTGAATATTGCAACAGTCCCTGCTCCCCAGTGCCTGCCCTGCACATCTGCTGGAATTTTCTGCCCCTCAGTTCAGAAGAAGGGAACATGAGTCAGGCTCAGGCAGCACACAAACCCTCCTCCACCTCAGCCTGAGGGTGAGACACAGGTGAACAGCCCCTTCTGTTGGCACAAGGGATGAATCCAACAGGCCCAGGCAGTGCTTTAAACATCTGCAACAAGATTTGATGGTTATGGCATCTGCACCTTCCACCAAATTCATACAGGTGGGACCTGGCAGCCCAGAAAGTGAGGTCCAACACATTTCGAGATGGGCACCAAGAAATGGAGTACACAGAGAAAATGAAGGTTTGGTTTGGTGAAATCCTGGTTCTCTCCACACACCAGGAGAACGGGGCACAAGGAAAAGCCACATGTTCAACTCTCCCCCGTTGTGCAGAGCAGAGGCTCTTGCAGAAGCAGCAGTGAGTGAACTCTGCAGGAGTTCATCCCCTGAAATATGAAACGGGAGCCCGCACCAGATGGCTGCCCTGGGCCTGGGGACTGCCTCTTCCAACTGCAGCCAGCCCTGGAGCTCCCACTGATGGTTCAAAGCCTTTGTGACTACACCAGGGAGGAATTCCTGCTCCGTGCAATAAACTCTTCTGCTCTCTGCTCAATGTTCTAGTACTCGGCGTGGTGTCAAACCCCACGTCTTCACACAGAGGATTAATAAGGAGCTCTAAGAGATGCAGCCAAGGTTTGTGAGCCCGGAGGAAGGGTGTGAGGGACCCTGAGAGCAGGCACAGAGCAGCAGCAGCAGCAGCAGCAGGGACTCTGCCTTGGGCTCTTCCCGACAGATGAAAGGAGGGGAAAATGCAAAAACCAAACAGCAAAGCAAAACATTGGCTCGGGCTCTGCGTTTTGGAAAGTGTTTGAGCTCAGTCACAAAGGTGGTTTTAGTTAGACAGGAGCAAAGTGCGGGATTAAGTGTGAGCACGGCTGCATCCCCCACACTTACACACAGACAATTACCCAACAATTACCAGGTCTTAAGAGCTCTGCTCCCACGTGCCCCAGGTTAGTGCACTGGCCTCCAAAGGCACAAAAATAATGAACTGTTAGTGGAAAAAGGTATTAATTTCAGCACACGTGGAGGAGGCACAACTGCTTAAAGTGCTTTTGCTGATGCTCTCTGGGCCACAGCTGGTTTAACAATCAAGATATTTGTGTTACTCTGCTCCATTTTCTGTTGAGTTACACAAAATTCCTGTTCTACAGACAGGTACAGAGCAGCACCAAGAGTATCTCTGCTGAATTCAAAGGGGCTGCTGCTACCAGCCACAAGAGAGGAGCAGACACTAACCCAGCCCCTGGGAAGCCAGGAATGTGTGCCTGTTGGGAATTAACAGAGACAAGAAAAGGCAGAGCTGAGCCCCAGAGACGTCACCAGGGGTTTCCCATTGAAGCTCTTGCACAAGCTCAAAAGAACCCAATGAAAGGTGGTAAAAACAGGAGCAGCAAGTGGGGGTTTGTTCTTTACAATCCCCAGCCCTTTCTCAGAATAATCCCTTCCCACTAGCAAGGGGAAATGGGCCTTTCCAGAAACAGAGGAAACCAGCTCCAGCATGGCCCACGTCCAACACCAACCCCCAGCTCACTTTCATTTCACCCCCAGGAGCAAACCCTGAACCCCTGCAAGGAACAGCAGCGACTCTGGGACCTCTTATGCAAAGCTGAGTGTATGACATTATGTAAAAGGAAATAGGAAAAAAGTCAGCCCCGGGTAGTGAAAGGAAAACAAGCTCAGTTCTGTGAACCGAAGATAAAGACCACAAAAGCAGAAGCACCCTCTGTCCTACACGTCCAAAATAAGCACACACAGCACAACACTCTTCCCCCCATGGGGACTTCCAGGCAAAAAGCCCTGAGGTGGCTCTTCCCCCCCAGCTCTGCCTCGAGGGATCATTCACTCCTGGCACTCACAGTTTCCTTCCCCTGGCTGTGCTCAGGAAGGCTCCAAGGACTACCCTGAGTGCTGAGGAAGCTGACAAACATCCCCTGCTTTAGGGGAAGGAAAGGTGCCCACGCTGCTGACTCACAAAATGTCCTTTGGAGCAGCAGCCCCACTGAGGGCAGGAGCACTTTGGCTCCAAAACATCATCCCAGCCATGGGTGTTAAACTG